ATATGCATATACAACATATATATACATATATATATATATATATGTATATATATATGCATATACAATATATATATATATATATATATTATATATTATATATATATATTACATGTATATGGGGATGGGTAGGAGTTTTCAGTGTTTGTTGTATGGCGGCGCATGCAATTGCTGATTTTGTTTAATAAAAAAACAAAAAAAAACAAGTCGAAGATTTTGCTGTGCACAAAGAGAAGACAGACAGAGAGACAGACAAATAGAAAGATAAACAAATATAAAGATAAACAAATATAAAGATAAACAAATATAAAGATAAACAAATAGCATAAATAAAAGAGTTAAGAGAAAGAGCAGACAGACAAACAAATAAAAGCAGTAAACGGTAAAAGAATAATCAAATTGTAGGCAATAAACAAATAATAAACAATAATAAACAAATAAACAAATAAACAATAAATGCATGAATACAGTAAAAATAATAAGAAGGAACGAAGAAGAAGAATAACAAAGATATTAAAGTACTAACGACATGCCTTTCTATTACTATTATTACTATTATTATTAAAGCAAAATAATAAAAAAGAAATATAATAACAAAGCGACTAATAATGTACATAGTAAGAAACAAAGAAGAAAAAGAAGGAAGCTCTGTAATATATATAAAAAGAAACAAAGAAGAAAAAGTAAAGAGAGAAGAAAGGCATCAATACCTATACTCTGGTGTATATAAATGCATTTATACGTATAAATAAATATATGCATTTAAATGCATTTATATAAACACTAGAAAAACAAACAAAGTGAAGGGAGAGAGAAAAGCAAACAAAAGAAACAACAACAGAAGCATTACAAGACTTCTGAGTAAATAGAAGACGAATATCAAAAGAAAAGAAAAAGAATAATAATAGAAACAAATAACAAAAAGAAAGAAATAAATTAAAATATATAATAACAAAAAGAAAGAAGAATTAATTAATAAAAATAATATTAATTGTTCCTCGTAAATAATATTTAAAACGAAAAACAGTCTCTCCTCGCCCCCTCTGCAGGTTGAGGTGTACGTACACCTCGTCTCTTCTTTTTTGCTGCATGTACACCCCAATACCCTATTAATCAGAGGCTAAGGAGGAGGTATATACATACATACACCTCAGGTATATAATATATATATACATATATATATATATATATATATCAGGCGTATGTATATACATACACCCCAGGTGTATGTATAAACATACACCCCAGCTGTATATATATGCATGTATATATATATATATATAT